TGACTAATATTTCAACATTCATCCCTGCCCTCAAGGAGCTTAGACTGGAAGAGGGGCCAAGTTATGTAATAATATTCCAACCAAACTAAGCTCTACAGTAGATGTGCAAAGCTCAAAATCACTCAGCCAGAAAACTGTCAAACACTAATATCTAAATAGTCAAAACATATAAAAGAGAACCACTTCCAGCATGTGTGTGAGGGAATACATATTTTAAGGACTAAAGTGTCAGACCAAAGAAGAGTCTGAATGAAAGCACTTAGTCTACTATGGCTAGGTTTATACTCCATAGATGATATTTTGGGGCCAATTCTACCACTGGCAATGTGTCCAGATTATAAATGCAAAAACTAATCCACAATGGGAACTATGGAGGGCTAATTGCTCACTAGACTGAAGCCATTCTGCTTTTCTAACCCCAATTGATTTTTAAAGGAATTTCCAGAAGTAGTCTCAAACTATGGCACATTTTGCTCCAGAAACCACCTCTCCATCCCTTCAAGCACTGCCTACGCTGGTACTAAATGGGGCCATAAAGAAACAGGCTCCCACCAGACGAGCAAAAATAAGAGACAGAAAAATAACAAGTGTTAGCAAAGATGTGGGATTTGTGGATCTCTCATATACTGCTGGTGGGAGTGAACACTGGTACAACAACTTTAGAAAATTGGCAGTAACTACCAAAGTGTAATAAGATACTGTTATGGCCTGAATTGTGTCTTCCCCCTCATATATGTTTTAGTCCTAATCCCCAATACCTCAAAATGTGACTGATGTGGAGATAGGACATTTAAAGAGGTGATTAAGGTTAAGTGAGGTCACAAGACAGGCCTTAGTCAATATGACTAATGTCTTTATAAGAGCATATTAGAACACAGACATGTGCAGAGAAAAGATCAAGTGAAAACACAGAAGATGGCCATCTGCAAGCCAAGGAGACAGGCTTCTACAGAAACCAACCCTACTTGACACCTTGATTTTGGACTTCTTAGCCTCCAGAATTATAAGAAAATAAATTTCTGGTATGTAAGTCACCCAGTCTGTGGTATTTGTTAACAGCAGCCCCAGTAAAAGAATAGATATATACCCTAAAACTTAGCCTTTCCATTTCTCAGTATTAACCTAATAGAAACGTGCATATATATTTATCAGAAGACAGACACAAGACTATTCATACAGCATTATTTGTAACGGCTGTAAGCTACAAGCAACCCAAATGCCCATCAGTAACTTAATAAATAAATACATAATGGTATATCACACAATGGCACACTACTGAGCAATGAAAAGGTGGAGTTAACAACTACACTCAACACAAAATCTCACAAACAATACTGAGTCAAAGAAACCAGACACAGAAAAGTACATACGAGATGTGATCAAAACATATGGTGAATGGTTAAATAAAAAACTATTGCAGTAAAAGACACATTGCCATTAATACCCCTCAAAATACTCCCCCTCACTTTAAACACACTTATCCCATTGTTCTTGCCACTTTCTGAAACAGCTTTGGAAGTCCTCTTTTGTGTCTTTAGTTGCTCTGTCGTGGCTGCCTCGATGTCCTGAATTGACTCAAAATGTTTACCTTTCATGCTCATTTTGACTTGGGTCATTTTGATATTTGCCAGATCCAGTAAATAAGGTGGGTGAGGACACACCATAATGTGTTTTTTTGTTTTTTGGGTTCTTTTTAAAGATTTTATTGCGGAATTAGGGAAGGGGAACAGTGTTGGGGAATTGGGAAAGGGAAACAGCCAAGTTGTTGTCCTTCAATCTTCATTGTGGAGAGCGCAGCTAGCTCAGCTCCAAGTCCAGTCGCCATCCAGCCGCCCGTCGGCAACTTGCAGCCATTCAGCTCAAGGTGCCTGTTCAGCTCAAGGTGCCGTGTTCAATCTTAGTTGCGGGTGGGCATAGCCCACCATCCCATGCGGGAGTCAAACCGGCAACCCTGCTGTTAGGAGCACGTGCTCTCACCAGCTGAGCCATCCTGCCACCTGTTGGCAGCTCAGCAGCAGCTCAGCTCGGGCGCAGCTCACTGGCCCATGTGGAAATCGAACCGGCAACCCTGTTGCTCAGAGCTCGCGCTCTTAACCAACTGAGCCACTCAGCCGGCCCTGAAAGATACATTTTTATAAGCAGTCAAATGCTGAGGCCTTTATGGTAATCACATATAATAAAAAAGACAGGATGATGCATCAGAAAGAGCACTGAGCAATGTTTCAACAGACCTAGATTATAGCATTCTATTAGCTGGGCCACCTGAGCATCCAGCCTCAACTAGAAATACAGGAAATGGATTGCCTCTTATGTCTACACAGTTGTTGTGAGCACCAAATGAAATCCTATGCAAAATGTAAGCACTACACAAATATTGAAAAGCATTTAAAGACAAATACTGTGTAGAAAGATTTCTATAAAACATTAATACTCCTTAATAACTATAAACTGAATGGCACAGGTCAGAGAATTTAAGAGTGGCTCTTAACCTGTGGGCTGCCCACATGACCCAGAGTTATTTCAAGGAATCCCCAGATCTGTAACTGCACAGAGAATTTTTGGTAGAAAGATTTAATACTGTATATAAGAGGCACTATTTTTCATAAAGTCTGTGTTGTTACAATTCAGTTTTTTAAAGGTTAATTCATAGCCACTTTGCCATGTAGTCTCAAATAACTCAAACTAAAAGTTGTCAAATGGAAATAAAATGTTTTAATTAAAATTGCATACAAAGATTGGAAACCAATCTTGTAACTATTCATAATTTTTAAAGGATTCCCAAACAGAGCTAGGTAACTACAGGAAAGCCAGTAGTAAAAAGCAAGCCATCTTTACTTGAAAGGGTAGGGAAAAACGAAACTCCTTCACTTTATCAGCAGCAGTCACACAAGCAAGCCCATTTGAGAGCCATGCAAGGTTACAGAATTCCTAACACTGCTCAGGTGCCCAGGCTTCCCTTCCTCAGATTTGCTCTGTCCTGACAGCAAGGTGACCAGAAAATGGAAAACAGAAGCAATCAAGCTGATCGTCCCCGGCAGTGATGACATCACCAAAACAGAGTGCCTCAGGCAGAGGCTTGAGGTCCCCTGCATTAAGTACTGCAAATGAACAAGGCCAATACTGTATGTCACCACTGGAACCAACACCCAAGCTTTCTCCCACAGGCATTTTGCAAATAGCTATTCTTAATTTGTTTTTGAAATCACAGCCTGGACTACTAAAATTGAAACTAGTCAAAAACACTGCTAAAAAGCCTGTTCTGATTTCACCCACCACATCACTTTTACCTTTCATTCACGAATCACACTGATCACAATCACCATTAAGAAGTTTTAAAACATAAATGCAAACTATTTTTTTTGTGTTTAATGCCATAGGTGGGAAGGAAAAAGCAGAAAATAGAAGATATGGGAGCAAATAACTGAAGGGATAGTCACATTGCAAAATGTTGCTGCAGCAAACTACAGACAGAGAAGCATAAAGATCTATTAGATAGCATTAACAGATAAGTGTTTGATAACACATAGGAATGTATGTCTGAGAATACAAGGGCAACCTTATATGGGAGATAAGAGTCAACAGAAAGCCAGCAGCCACAAAATGGGGTGGAGGGAGCAGTTAGTTTCTAGAGCTTCAGTCTCCTTCAGAGAATAACATTAGTGCCAAGGAGAACCACTGTTTAGCCTTACTCAGGAGGACTCCTCTCTTTACTTCCATGGAAGCTCTTGCCTATAACTCCCAGTCCAATATCTGGTCAAATTCTTCTTAGGCATATGTGTTGAATTATATCAATGGAGAGTTAAGACAATTTATCACAGGAATAATGGTAAATATGTCAAATTTCAGAGAGGAACAGTACACTAGATGACTGTCACACATGTGTGGTCTGGGTTTGCATCAAAAGGCTAATATTTAACCTAAGGGTGAAAATATTATTAGTGCATATCTCTTTGGAGATTTATTAAAAGCTAATCAAATAACCAAAACCTTTTTGCCTCATTTGTATGTGGGGTCAGGAACTGGATTCAGGGCCATACTTCACTATAAAGCAATGCCTTTTGATTATGAGGATGGATACTTAGGCCCGGTTGGCACAAAAATAAAAATAAAAATACTGCCCCAAATGGTTGCTAACAATTACCTGGAAGGATATACTAAAAAACCTGTTTTTGAAACTTTCTCATACAGTCCACCGTTGTGTTTGTTTACTCATGCAGTTCTACCACAAATGCAAAACTCACATCCCCTTTTAAAGAAGAGGAGCCATAACAGTTGTGGGAGATGGGTGGCATAAGGTTTTACCTACAACGTTACTGGTACTATATGACTGGCAGTCACTATATTAAACTTTCTTCATCAGCTGAAGAAGAAAAATCCAGCATGCCAAATGTGCCTTTGCTCAAAGAGTACTGCAAAAGCTAACATTTGCAGTGTAAAATGGCAGTGACATGAACTCCCTCCTGCATGAACAAAAATGCCACCAGAGCAAAAGGAGAAAAAAGTTTAGTGTTGAATGTTACTCTTCAAAAGAATGATCAATTTGAAACCTAATATTATCTTCCATACTCTCTTCAAGAACAAACCATACAAATGCCATTGTTAAAATTAACAAAGCCTTCAAGTTAGCCAGAACACCAGGCTGTCTGGATTACCACGGATTCACTTGCAGAGATGAGAAATGAGAAACAACTCCTTTTTCCAAAAGCCTCAAGTTCTACCACCAAACCCATTCCACAACAGAATCCCTGACCATGATCACTCACCATCTTTAAATTTCTTGGGGACAGAAAAAATGCCTATCTCCCAGAGTCAATATCCAGCAATACCTAATACTGAAAAAACATTGGATGAATGAATGAAAAGGTGCTCATCATTAGTCTCCCCCAAACTCAAATATTATTTAAGGCTACCATACTTATTACTCACTCAATTATAACAAGCTCGGTAGCAAAGTTAAAAAAAAAATCAGAATATAATAGGTTGTGAGTATTAAGCTTTACCTTGGCCAGTATCTTCAGAAGTACTCACAACCTCACTTTCCAGTTCTTAGACTTAAATCTGAATCAACTCTCCCAAATCTGAAAAGATAAACACACTGATAGACTTTATTAATCCATGGAATGAGGAGACATTTGGCTAAATCAGCTGCTTAAGTCACAAGGAAGAGACAAGAGCCTGTTCTTTTGAAATCTGAAGAGTATTTTCAACAGGAAAGAACCAACTGGCTGGACACCTATGTACTAAAGTTTTATGGAAGTTGTTCTGAGAATTAAACATAATAACCTGTGCAAAGGTCTTGCCAGGCTGTCCAACATACAATAAGTGCTCAAAAGTTTGCTATTATTATTCTCGATTTTCCCACTTTTAGGAATCAGTAATGCAGTAAGAGGTGGTTGGAATTCAAACACAGCTCTATAGTCAACCACCACCACCTTTCTCACAATAAGTTACCATTAATATGTTTATGATAAAAAGTTCCCTGTCTCCCAGAGCCAAAGGCGTATCACATGTATACAAGTGTTTGAGGCGAGCCCAGTGCACGTGACCTAACTGCCTTGATTTAGTTGCCGTCAGGGAACCTCTCACTAACAGGGTCAGGCTGTTTAACTAAATAGACAGATGGGAACGTGGCTCAGCCCTGGGCACCTTTGACCAATGCCGGCACGGTTGGTGGCGCCTGGATCGCGTCCACCGCCAGACACGGCACTGGGGGATCGGTTTCGACACCCTCCGGCTCGCCGCTCTAACGAACTCAACCGGCTAGCGCTTCCCGCCGCAGCACAGAGTCCCCAGTGCCCAGCGGCCACCCAAGTCAGGACACCTTCCCGGGTGTCTGGTCTCAGCAACCTCTGACCCCTACCCGGCCGCGCGCGGTCCGGGCCTGCTCCTGGGCCCGGAGCACCGCGGACATTCCCCGCGAGGCCGGGGCTGGGCCTAGAGCCTGCCCAAGAAAGGGAGGACACGAAGCCCAGGCGACCGAGGGGCTGAAGAGGGGGATGGGGCTAGGCCACCGGCTGGGCTGGGCCCTCTGCTCACCGCTGCCGCTCCGCTGGGGGCTCCGGGCCGGGCGCGTCACAAGGGCTCCCGCCGAGGAGACGCAAGGGAGGACACGGCAGAGAAGGCCAAGTTCCGGTTTGAAAGGACTCCTGCGCACTCCCTAAATTTCCAACGCCGCCGCAGCCGCCGCCTTGGGCTTTATGGCCAAGAATCTGACTCCGCTTCCACTTCCGCCACCGCCGCCGCCCCGAGCGGAAGTACCTGTCACGAGACACTCCACGCCAAGGGTGCGGGGGAGGAGCCCCGCCTTAACACGCGTCACGTTTGGCTGCCTTTGGCCTGGGCCTGGATCACGTGGTGCAAATATGTCTGCCCCCGAAGGTTGTCGCCATCTTTGAATCTCGTGCAAGCAGCAGGACGGCGCCATGTTGAACCCCAAAACCGATGTCTCAGCCATCCCCCTTTCCCCTGGAATAAGAGTGTTAGGGGAAAGAAAGAGAGGATAAATTGATCTTTCCATTAGTGTCCCTTTCCAGTGGACACTGATCAGTCAACCATGTCATCCTGTTTGGATCAATAAAGTTTGCTCTAGGAACAGGGTTTTCCCAGGAGATATCTTAGTGGAAGACAAAATAGTTGTTATTTCACAAATTTACAGCGGGGTGAGGAAGGGCACCCATATTTACTGAGCATCTACTGTGCACCCAACCTACACCTTTGGATTGTCTCCATTTGTCCTTACTTTAANACACTGTTCCCCTCCCCTAATTCCCCAATAAAATCTTTAAAAAAACAACAAACCAAAAAAACGTAGCCCTGAAAATAAAGGCTGGCCCAACAGTCTACTCTTTACCTGTGAAAATTAATTAGCCTCCTCTTTATCTGTTACAATTAATAAAGAAACATTTTTAATGCATGCCTAGCCTAGGATATTTCCTATGGAATCTGGTATTAATAACCTTCCATCAGGAGTGACAAATCTAATTTGTCAAAAGTTAAAGAACAATTAACAGTAAAAATCCATCTAGAGTGCAGATTACAAAGTAACTATAATATGTATGTTCAAATACTGCAAGAAAAGACCAAAGGCAAAACATGAAATACTTAAAACTTCATGAACATAATTTAAAACCTAATACTTTCTTTTCAAATTATTTTTTCGACCCACTACACAAAGCAGGAGGGATACAAGGATTAAAAGGCATGTACCACTGCTCCACCAAACCCAAAGCTTCTTGGTGGTGGTGGGGTGGTCAGGAACCAGGTTTTCTATTGTTTGTATCACTACTGCCTCGAATGAAGCTTGGGACATGGTATGTGCTCAATAAAACCTACTGCATGAATGAGCAATTACGCAGTATCTGTCCCAGATACATGGGAAGTGGGGGTGGGGGGAGATTTAGCTTCTTCCCTATGAAAGGGCACCTTAGAGAAGCCTTCATCTAAATTTCTTCATGAATGAATCTGCCAGACAAGGAGATGGGGTAGAAAGAGCACCAGTTCATCAAAAGCGAACATGTATTTCAGCCTAACTTCAACAAAGATTAAAAACTGCCTAGGTTATCAAAATGTATTATGAAGCGGAAGCAAAGAAGACAGCGATACTGTCACAGGGACAAAGAACGGAACAAAAGAGTTTTTAAAAAGATATATGTAGGTAGGAAATTAGTGTGTGATATCTTTCTAGTCAGTGAGAAAAGGATGAC